AACAAAAATCGATGTTTCTCTTGGCAGCAAAAGTCCCACTGATAATATCAAACGGAGTCATAAAGTTTTCTGTCGGACTATCAGTGTACATGTATACGTTAAAAAATAAATGTATTTTTCATCATATACTGTGTTTTTGTCGCTCAAATGAATATTATTTCTTCAAGGTTCTTCACATACGTACACCTTAAGAGATATCAAGTGGGCGTAACATGTTCTCAAAAAATTAGGGTTGGCACGGTGAAGAATTCTGAGTCAGAGATTTTGCTGGTTTTGGCACGCACTCACAAAAAGGTTGCCCACCCCTGTTCTAGAACTACCTGGGGCCTGGCATCAGCATTCTGACCTGTCACCCTAGGAGATTCTGCTGCTTAATGTACAAATGCTCTTTTGGGGGTAGCTGCTATTTATTTTAATAAAAAGACTAAGTTTCTGTGTCAAAGAAATTCATCTCTACTGTAAAATCTCCAGGATGAGTCTATAACAGGGATTCTCAACCTCAGCACATCTGACATTTTGGACCAGATAACTGCTTATCATGGAGGACTGTCCTGTGCATTGTAGGATGTTCAACAACATCCTGGGCACCAGAGACGTTGTGACAACCACAAATTTAAAAATACCTCTGGACACGAGCAAATGTCCACTAAAGGGGCCCGAGTGAAATCAGACCCGAGTCTAGTGTGTTGCATGTCCTTCGCCGTCCTTGGAATGACCTCCAGGCCAGGCTCTGCCCACACTGGACCCCAGCCCTCCACTACAGAGGGGGCTGAAGCCAGTTCACTCTCTTGGCCGTGGAGGGAAACCAGACCCTTGACTACCTCCCTCTCCCTTTCTTCATCCGTCCACCTAACCCTCAGCTCTCAGCTCGTGGGTGCCCTCTGCTGCCTGGCCCCCTCACAGGCAGGGGAGACAGAGAGCAGGAGGCTCCCCATTCATTACAAGTGGTGCTGATGAGGCTCCAAGGAGAGGGCATATGTGGAAGAATTCTTTTATGAAAATAAGTTTATTTCTGTGCTTATTCTAAAGCAAACATGGTCACAGTAAGAAATGTGGCAAGTACAGAAAAACAACAAAGAAGAAATGAAAGTCACTGGTTAATTCAGCCACCCAGAGGGACCCTGACGAGGCTGCTACTACCACCCGGGCTGGCGTGTGGGCAGGAGACCCAGGTGCACAGAGCACGTGACCCAGGACAGTAAAGGCGTCCGGCGGCCCGGTCAGACGTCTGCTTTATTCAGACCCAGGGGACCAGAGAGCCAAGTGTCTCTCTGCCCCACCCTCCCAAGAACCTGCTCCTACAGACAGAACATCAGAGCTCGTCCTTTATGTCAAAATGGGGCTGGTCTTCGGGCTTGAAGTCCAGGTTGGGGCTGCCGTCCTCGTTGAGGATTCTTCGGGCCGTGTAGCCGACGATGGGATATTTGGCTTTGTACACTTTGGTGAAGACGTCATCCAGGGCTTTCAGCTCCTCGGCCGTGAGGCCCGTCTTGAGGAGAAAAACCCAAGAAACGGGGGTGGGGGGTGGAAATGAGGGAATCATGCTTGGCACGGCCTCTCGCCAGCCCTGCCCTCCTCTCCCCACACCCCTCGTGCAAGAGAAAAAACACCTCAACAACCCAAATAATGGACACTGACTTTGTAAGAGACAACCCTGTGGGGTGGGGAGTGATGGGGTGGCGCACAATGACTTCATTGTGTTGTGCTGTTCAACTGATGTAGGAATTCAGGACCCCAGAGGACACCCAGCCTGGGACAGGACGGGGGTGCACTGGTTCATTCCACGGCTCCCTATGTCCTCCCATCATAGATTTATACACCCTCCTAAGTTCTTAATTTGTTTCTGTAATGTGGCAGTTTAAGAGTTTGGCTCATCAGAGCACAGCTGGGTGAAGGCCAGCCTTTCTGTTGGGATTACACAGGCACTGAGGTGGTTTTAGTTCATGCTTCCTTCTCCTTCACAGAAATGCGAGCATGGGGGAGACTCAGCTTCTCAACCTCAACCCTCCCACCCCTCCCCACCCCCCCATTCATCCCCTGAGCTACCGAGGGTGGTTTGGGAAGTGGTTCTGGGGAGTGGGTCACAGAGACTAACAGCGGATCTGTAAGAGGCGGGGGTGGCATTGCAGACTGTCAGGGCTGGGGCTGCCAACTCCAGCTGGAGCCAAACTGTGACGCTTCCTGAACGTGATCACGAGTTCATGAGTTTGGACTTGACCCTGGGGAGCCAGGGAAGGTTTCTGACCAGGAGTGGCACCGTAGGATATCTACTTCAAGAAAACAGTTGGCCGCCACACCAAGTGGACTGGAATGCAGCCTAGTTAGGAAGCTTTGCTATTGTAAAAAGAAAAAAAAAAAGAAAAGAAAGAAAGGAAAGCAGGCCATGGCCAAGGGGGTGGAACATTAGACAAAGGCTCAGAATCTGGCTCACAGTGTCATGGGTGAGGTCTGCAGGATCCAGGGACATCTTGGCTACTCCTCTGGTGGAGTCCTTCCCGGCCAAGGCATTGTAGGGGGCTCCTCGTCCATAAAACTCTGAAGTGGGGAGGAAGGAGCGGGATGTGAGTGTGGATGTGCACGCAGGGCAGCCAGGAGGCTGCACGTGGCAGTGGCCAGAAGGGCAGGCGGTCTGAGATCCAACCCGATCCTAAGAAAGGCTCCAGGCCCGAGGGGAGGGAAGGCAGTAACCCCCAGCCATCAGTTTGGATTCGAGTAATTCAGAATATGGAATGAGTCGCACATTGCAGGGCTGAGATACAAAAATAATCTCTTAAAAATATTTAAAATCCAAAAAAAAAATAAATAAATTTAAAATCCAAGCAAGGAAAACGTTCAATTTTCTTAAATTGTTGGGAGAACCACCCAGCTGGCTGCTCAGTGGTCAGAGTGTCATCCCACAAGAAAAATATCCTTGGGTGAGGATTTTTTTAAAAGTTGGTAGAATCTAAGTTTATTTCCATTCAACATCCTTTGTTTGGTATCGGACAATGAACCATGACAAAACTACTTCCATAGCATTTGTAGTTACCAGTTGGGAAACCATGAAATGGCATTAAAATGTCCTACGATCCCAACTCTTTGTAACATTTTTCCTCTCACTGCTTCACCTAGGGTAAATCATCAAATATGGCTCTGATTCCATAGGAATGGGAGCCAGGGAGGCTCTGAGCAGGAGATGGACATTATTAGGAAAATCTGCCCAACACTGACAAAGACTGTTCCCTCCATCTGGGGACAAAGGACTTGCCCCGAGTTCCCTCCCTCTCCTCACCCCTCCAGGGCCCACTCTGCCAAGCTCTCCAGAAATAAGGACTCAGAAAGCTAAGCCACTTACCCTTCCCAGAAGTGACATCAAACACCACGCCCTTCACCGCCATGTAGATGGGCTGATCTTCCTAGAAAGCAGGAGAGAAGCTGTGAGGAGGAGGCGAAGAGCCCAGCGTTTCCAGCTCAAGTTAGTAACATCTCTTCCCTCCTGGGCTGAGCAGAGAGGAGAGGAGCTGGGAGAGTCGCAAAGCAGCTTCCGTAAGGCGTCCTCAGCAAGCTCGCCCCTGCCTGCACCATGGTCGTGCCCACTCCCAAGAACTTGGAAGAGTTAGAAATATCACGACAAGCCCATGGCTATACCATTCTTTTTTATTTTTTTTTTATTTTTAATCAGGAACTGAAGCAACTCTATGTACACAAAAATTCAAAAGAATATTAAATGATTATTTAAATCATTCCAAATTTTCTTTCATCTTCGTGAAAGAAAATGAAAATGTACATACGTGGACATGGTGTAAATTATCTATTTTATGTATTGCTTCTTTTTAAAAATATATTTTATTGATTTCAGAGAGGAAGAAAGATAGAAAGATCAATGATCAGAGAGAATCATGGATCGGCTGCCTCCTGCACGCCCCACACTGAGGATCAAGCCCACAACCTGGGCATGTGCCCTGACTGAGAATCAAACCATGACCTTTTGGTTCATAGGTCAATGCTGAGCCACAACGGCTGGGCATGTTTTGGTTCTTATAGGTGACGTTACTTCATATAAACATTTGCATGTATTGAAATAACCAAAATGGCTGCCCCTTAAACCGCTATATTTCGTATTAGTGATACTTAGTACCTGTTTGTTTAGCTATTCTTCTACTTTGGGTATTTGGATGGTTTCCAATTTCTTAGAACTATCAACAGCAGAATTATGAATATCTTTCTACGAGTTACTTTCTAATTTGGTGAATTATTTCCTTGAGGCCTGTTTCAATATGTGGAATTCTTGGGCCAAAGAATATGAACAACATAGTCGCCTTTTATATTTTATCAGTTTGTCCTTCAAAACACAATTTACCATGCTAGGAAAATACAAGTAATGCTGTTTCCCCACAGTTCTGAGAAATTCTATACTTTATTTTTTGTTGTATTCCTGGGTATACAGTTCTACCTTCATTTCCTCCCAAGGGAGGATAAGACAAGAGCAGATGGTGCGATTTTCTAGTCTCATGAAGTCGGGTCAGGTTGGGGGGACTGGCAGTTCTCGGACACCCAGGACCTGGTCTTTCCTTTGAGCCCCGTCCAGGGACAGGGAGAGCAGCCAGGTGGCTCACAGGCCAGGGTGAGGGTGGGAGTCACAGCTGGGTGTATGAGAATTTCAAAATGTCCAAAAACATGCTGCTTGGCGTTCTCTGGGGTTCTTGCCTTCATGGAGCTTGAGGTCAAGTATTTTCATGACCATAGGTAACAGACAGAGAAAAGTACTTCGCACATCACCATCTCATTTAATTCTCACCCCCCAAAAATCTATATAGAGTGGGAACTCTACATATATAAAGTACATAAATATATTTTATTGATTTTTAGAGAGGAAGAGAGAGAGGGATAAACATCAAGGATGAGAGAGAATCACTGATTGGCAGCCTCCTGCACGCCCCCTTCTGGGGATCAAGCTAGCAACCCCCACATGTGCCCTGACCAGAAAAACAAGTGTGACCTCCTGGTTCACAGGTGGACGTTCAACCACTGAGGAACACCAGCCAGGCCAGAGTAGGAACTTATTCTAGCCATTACGATGGTCATTCAACCAAACACTTAGGGAGGTGCTGCTGTGAAGGTATTTTGTAGATGTGATTAACATCAACAGTTGGTTGATTTAATGTAAAGGAGATTGTCCTGGATAATCTGGGGGCACTGATTACATCAGTTGAAAGGCCTTAAGGATCGAGTTGAGATTTTCCTAAGGAAGAAGAGAGCCCACAGTGGGCTGCGGCATCAGCTCCAGCCCAGGCTTCGGCCGTCCTTCCTGCAGGCTGCCCTACCGATGTGAGACTTGCCTAGCCAGCCCCCATGAGCACATAGACCAATTTCAACCGCCCCCCTCCCTTCCTCTGCCTACAAACATCCAATAGGCCCCCTACCCAAAATATTCTTTGCTTACCCTGTTTCCAGCTTCCCTCAGTTAAGTATGAACCAATTACATCAGCTTAAAAAACCAAAGATTTTTTTTCCCTCCGTCCCCATCCTGCAGCCCCTGGTAGTGCTGCTGCTCGTACCCCCCACACGGAACTCTCTCCTTGGGTTCTGCGCTGGGGCCCCTCCCGGTCTCCCCCAAGTCTGGAGATTCACTAGTAGGACTGGACTCTGCATAAGGCTGTACTCAGAGTAGGGTTACAGCGATGTGGTAAGGACCCACCGCCTGGCACAAGAGAAAAGGGCATGGGGTCTAGAGCAGCGATTTTCAGCCTCAAGGGCACAGGCGCCAGGAGCAGGTGAGGGTCAGCTGCAGAGGAGGCCTGGGGCACAGGGGCCGGAAACGAAGTGCAGGGAAAGCCTGGATCTCCCCTGGGCGAGCCCCAGTTCCCGCCGGACCCAGGAGCAGGCTCAGGTCCCCTCCTCCCCTGCCACTCCCCCCAAAGAGTAGGCAGAAGTGTCTGCCCCCCAACATTCTGAGGCTCCTTACAGACCACCAGCCAGAGTGCGTGTCAAGGAGGCAGCTCGAGGGAAGAAAGAGGACAGACAGCGTGGGTGGGGTGTTCGCGGTTAGTGAGGTGGGAAAGCCGGGCGCCTCGGTTGCTGAGGACTCCCCCTTATCCCTGGGCGGCCATGGGTCCTGGAGCGAGGAGGCCGGGCAGGCCAGGCGCCCAGCTCCACACCCGGGCTCCGGGAGG